TTTTTTTTTTTTTTTTTTTTTTTTTTTTGTGTGCACTAATTTTTTAATCTTTTTTTATAAATTAGATTTTATAAATATAATTATTTTTGTATTATTATTATTTTAAAATTAATTGAAAAGGAAAGCAATGTTTTAATTTGATATGTGTAACCAAATTTAATTTTTTTTTTTTTTTTTTTTTTTTTAATAATTATAAATTAAATGTGAATATAATATACAAAAAAAAAAAAAAAAAAAGAATTATTCATTTAAAAGTAGAAAGTAATACTTAAAAAAAAAAAAAAAGAGAAATATAACTATCAAAAATGTGTATATATAGAGTAAATAATGACTAATATAACGAAAGACTAAAGAACTAAAAAAGGAATAAAAGAAATAATTTTTTTAAAATAATTTTGGGATATTTATTTTTATATATTTGTCCAAATATGAAGATTAACTAATAGCAAATCAGATAAATTTTCAACATCATTCTCACTTGAAATATTTTTTAAGTTTTTTTGTAAGAATTTCGAAAGTTCATTTTTTAAATAAAAATTAGATAACAACTGAGAAGAGGAACAATTCTGGAAAAAAATATTTAGAAAATTCTTCCTATCATGTAATAATTTTATATTTTCCTTTTTATCTACTGTAGTACTCTCGGTACTTTCGTTATCCAAAATTGTATTTTTTTTATTAAAAAAATATTCAAGTATAGATAACATTAAATATTTAAAAGAAGGAGAATATTTTTCTTTATTTTTTAAATTATCATGTACATTTTTATAAAAATTTATAAAATCATACTCATTTAATATAATATCATTTTTAATTAATACCATCATAGATGAGAAAAAAAAGTAAGAGTATTCTTCAACAAAAATAATATATACTTTAAAAAGACATGAAAAAATATTTAAATTCCCATCTATTTTGTTATTATTAGTTGTGTATGCTTTTATATTACTCATGCTATTTTCAAATTCTAATAAATTTTCACTATCTCCTTTTTCACTTTCTTTTATTTCATTTTTTTTATCATTTGCCATTTCAAAATCATTTAAGTATTTTTCATTTTTCTTTAGATATAACAAAATTATAAAAGATTCATTCAGAATTTTTATGTAAATGTAATTATTACATAAAGTGTATAAATTCTTATTACTAAAAAAATTTTCGTAAAATTTGATAATTCTGAAATTTGATAAAAAGGAGTTTTCATTTAAAAGCGAAAATACGAAATGAGATATTAATGATGATGTTATCATAGGAAAATATATTTTTGCACAATTATAATAATATTGTTCATTCATTATTTTTATTTTATTAAAAATTTTTGTGTGTATATATTTTTCATTTCTTTTTTCAAGTAATTTAAATTCATCATATAAATATATTAAAAAGTAAAAAAAATTTTGAAACTCCTTCATCAAATTTATATCGTTTATGAAATGAAGGAATCTTTTTGGTAATATTTTAATAATATCAAAATAAATAAAAATAGATATTATTCTATTTTCATCTATTACCTCATCATTTTCCATATTTTTTTGAAATACGTTTTTTGATAATGATACATTTACATTATGACTATTCTTATATTCAATATTATTTATCTCTATGTTTTCATTAATAGTTTTCTTTTCATTTTTTTCATTATTAAATTCTTTTTTTTCATTGTCTTCCTTTTCTCTTTTCTCTACCTTTTGTTCATAAGCATTTAAATATTTTAATAATATATTTAAAGAATATTGCAAATTAATATGATATTTATAGAAAAAGCTTTTCATAACCGTTGATATTAATTCTTCTGAATTTATATTTTTTAAAAAAATATGAAAAAAAAATAAATAATTTTTCCCATTTCTATTTAAAACAATTTGATTTTTTAAAAATAGAAATAAGAAATATTGCTTACTATTAGTTTTTTTTTTTTTGTGAAATATTATTTCATTGCTTTTCAAAACATTATTTTTCTCTTTATCTGAAATTAAATAAAATAAAATGTGTAATAAAGCTGATAGGGATTCTGTATCATTATTTTTATTAATAAAATATCCTAAAAATTCCCACAATTTTTTTGAAATATAAAAAAAAAAAGGATTAATTGATGAACTAATATAAAAAAGGAACTCAAGAAATATTATAAATATTTTATAATTATTTAAATTGTTATTCACGAAACATTTTAATTGTGAAATAATAATTGATGATAAAAATTCATAAGGAAAGAAAAAATAGTTATCTAAATCTTTTTTTTCTTTATTTGCAAATATTTTTTTTTCTTTAAAATCATTAATATTATCAGTTATATTATTATTATTATTATTAATTAATACATATAATAATTTCTTTACAAGTTCAATATGAATTATAGACTTTTTAAAATAAGCAAATTTATATTTATTATTAATTATTTCTTTCATTATATTCATAAAAATAACACTTAAAACATTTAATCCTATCATATCAAATTCAATAAAATTATTAGGATTTTCCATTTTTTTACAATTCTGAAAATCATATTTCATTATTTGTTCTATAGATGAATAAAGCTTGCAAATGTTTTCTTTATTGGTATTAGTATTATCATTTTCATGATATGATACATTATCTCCTTTGTAAATATTATATTCATATTCTCCTTCTTCACTAATATTTTTCTTTCTGTTAATAAAATTATCTGATATATTTATGGTATTTTTTTCTTTATTTCTTAAATTATTATTCTCTATATTATTCAACTCATAAAAGTAATAAAGTTTCTTGTTAAATTCAACAAACTCATTTTGATCAATATTATATTTAACTAACTTTGATTTATTTTTTGAATATTTATCTATTTTTTCAATTATATCATCAGGTGCAAAAGTAAAAGTAGTAAAAATTATTTGCTGCACAGATTTCATATATAAATGAAACTCATCAAAAAATGAAACTCTTACATTTACGTCACTATTCTCATTAAAACAATATTTATATATCACCAATGCATCAGTAAATTTAATAAATATATCCAATAAGACATATTTAATTTTTTTTCTAATTAAGTCAAAATCACTTAAAATATTTTTTTTTTTCTTCTTTTTTCTTTTTTTAAATTTATTCCATATAAAACTAAATATATATTTAAAAAAGCAAAAATATTTTTTTATTTTTTTTTCAAGAAAAATAAAAATTGTTATAATTCGGTTTATACTTTTTTCTTTCTTTTCGTTTCTGTAACTAATTAAAAATTTTTTATTTAAATATAATTTCTCTAATTTTAATTTAATAATTTCTTCTTTTTCTTCTAAATCACCAATATTTACTTTTTTTTCTTCATCATTTTCGATCTTACTTATTATTTCACTACAAAAAAATAAAAATATTTCATTATTTAAACGGTTTGTTTTTTCTATTATTGTATAAAATAAATAAAACAGAATATAGTACGTTTTATCAAAATTATACAAAAATTTTCTGATGTTAAAAAAATTTTTTGTTATTTTTTTATCATAATTCAATTCATAAAAAATTTTCCTATTATGTAGGTAAATAGAGACTTGATCAATCACTTTATTTAAGCTTTTATAAAATAACATTGTTTGTTTAGGAGCATCTTCAATATTTTCATTATAATAAAAAACTAGTAAACTAACATTTTTTAATATGTCACTAAAAAAGTAATCTAAAAAGAGTACATGTTTTTTTTTATATAGACTTCTTATAATATCATTTATCATTTCATTAAATACGTAAAAAAATCTTTTTGAAATTTTTTCATTCATATAATGTGTAACCTTTTTTGCTTTGAAAAGAGTACATATAATTATTTTTAATAAATTTAAATTGATATTTATTAATTTTATCTCGAAAGCGAAACTACTTTTTTTTTTTCTTTCTTCCACATCTCCATTATTATCATTGCTATTATTTTTTATTAAAACAACATTGTCTTCATAATTACATATAAATGTGCAATCTAACAATTTTTTTTCTTTATCAGTTGATTTGTTTTCATTATCCTTTTTTTCTATAGAAGTATAATTTTCTATAATATCATCGTAATGTGTATTTTCTCTTTTTTTAAAATATATATTATTTATTAATATGTCATTTATTTTGGCTGAATTAAGTTCTTTTCTACATAAATCAAGATGATGTCTTTCATTAGGATTATTATCTATTTTTTCATATATATCTTTTTTTATTATAATCAAATCATTTATATAATTATTACAATCAATGTTGCTATTTAAGATATAATCATAAATTTTATCAATTAAGTCTAAAAAGAATTCTAGTAAAGAAAATATCATATTCATATAATCACAACTTTTTTCGTTTATATAAGTATAAATATTGTTAATTTGTTTTTTATTAATATATTTTAAGTCATTACTTAAAAACATTTTATCTATTAATTCTCCACTAAAAGTGTTTTCTTCCATGTAATAAGTTAAATTTTCAATTAATACATATATTAATTCAAATAAAATATAATAAATTTTTTTTATTTCAATTAGATGCAATTCATTATAAGAAAATAATAATATATCAAATAATTTTTTATTAAAATTGAAAGTTATGAATAATTCAATTATATCTAATGAATTCAAATTTTCTATAATTTTAGTAAAAATTATATACTCTTCATTTAAAGAATAATACTCTTCAATGACACCATTATAAGAAAAAATAAAATCATAAAATTTCTTTTCTTTTTTCAATTTATCTATGTAAGTATTTATATTTTCAATAATTATGTAAAACACGTTCTCATTTGAAATGTCTTTACACAAGTTTAACGTGTTCATCAAAAAAGTGTAACCGTCTTCTTTTTCTTTAATTTTATTTAAATTATCAAACTTATTATTTTCTCTTAATATATAGTTATTTAAAAGATTTTTAGGAGTTTCATTATCCATTTTAAAGGAAAAAAAAAAAAAAAAAAAAAAGTTAAAATTTACAAAAAAAATTGGTAAGATGATTTATTTGTTTTTTCTTCTAATTTTTATCTTGTAGTGAGACTTCAATTTCATAAAAATTTTTATATTCCTCCCAATTAATATAAATACAAAGATTTTTTAAAATATTGTAGAAAATAAAGAAAAAAAAATAAATTGAAATTTATTATAAGTTATAAAATTTTCATTTTTTTAAAGGAAAAAGATATAATATATACAAAATAATTTTTTTTATTTACATTATAATAATTAAATTCTAGAGAAATATTTTAAAATAAAAATACAATTTTAAATAATTATTTTTATAAATTGTATGATTATTAAAAAAATATTTTTAAATATGCAAAAGTATCAAAAATTAATTGCGTTTTTTACATATTAAAAAGAGATAAACAAGTTTTATGCTCTTTGAAAATATAATTTTAATTATTTGAAATTTCTACTATACACTGTAAATAAAATATTACTTTTTCAGGTTCTCAGTTGAAACAAAATAATTTAAAAATTCTTAAATTACATATTTTTTAATTTAAAATTATATTCTTACATTAAAGTTTAAAAAAAAAAAAAAAAAAAAAAAAAAAAGAAAAAAAAAAATTATTTTTTAAATAATTTAAAAAAAAAAGAGATAACAAAAAATATCAGTTTTTTCTTTTATTTAAAATAAAAAATTATTAATATGTACATGGATAAATGTAGACAATTTTATATTTTAAAAATTAATAGAATTATATTTTAGTAGAACAATTCTTCATTATTTAAATCTATTAATTTTCCAATATCACGTTGTATCTATAAAAAAAAAAAAAAATATATATATATATATATATATATACATAAAATATATATATATATTTTTAGGTGTAAAGTATTATATTTTTTTAAAAGAAATATTGATATAGTATTAAATATTTTGTAATATATTCAAACTTCAAATTGATTATAAATATTGACTGATGGAATTTTAATCATCACTATTGGTGCTTGTAATGAATCTAAAGATCCTATATATTAATGAAAAAATGAGGAATGTTTATATATATATATATATATATATATGAGGGAAGAATGATATAATTAATGCATTTATCTGCATATATATTTTAATAACCATTAATTTCTGTATCAACATTTAAAATATTTTCATCTTTTTTTAAATTATTTTTATCTTCTGAGATAAAATCTTCTTCATCATGAACATATTTAATAGATATATTCCTGTCTACAAAATTTGTAAAAGTAAAAACATGAAATATTTCATTTAAATTTTTTTATTAAATAAAAAAGAAATTAATATCACTTAATAGGAAATAATAACAAAAATAAAGTGTAACATAATTTTTTTTTTTTTTTTTTTTTTCTTTATTACCTCTTTTAATATATCCTTTTAATTCATTGTATATTTTATTTGACAAATTTTCTTGTTCTTTCATTAATATTTCTAAATTTTTTTCTTTTTCTTCCATTTTTTCTATATTCATATTCTCTGATATGTTTTCATTTTCTTCATTTTCATCATTTTCTAATAATATTTTCATTAATTTGTCTTTTTCATCACTTGGTAAATTTTCAGAATAATCTTTGTAGTAGACATTAATATGTGGTTTTATTATTTTTGATAAGCCATAAATTTTTTTATTAAATGAAAAAAAAAATAAAATAGGGAATATGGAATATAATATAGACATTTTTATTGTTTTTTAATGTTATATTTTTATTTTTTATTTATAAAATCTCCAATTATATTTTCAAAGAATTTTCAAATTTTAAAATAAATCTTTAAGGAGGGAAAAGAAAAAAAAAAAAAATAAATAAATTCTTTAAAACAAAAACACGTTTTTTTCTAATTATTAGTGTAAAAAAGACTTCTTTAATAACTTGATCAAGTAATTTTTTAAAAAAATTTTGAAACCCTTATTTTGGTATAGAGGAAAATATTTAGAGAAGCATATATATACAAATGAGTTTTAAATAATTAAATATAATAAATAAAATGTTTAAAAATTAAAAAAAAAAAAAATAATTTTTTATATATTCAATTATATAATAATTTGAGTATATACAGAAAAAAAAAAAAAAGTAATGAATTATACGTTGGGATCTTTTATCTCACTATGATGTTACAAAAAGGAAAAAAAAATTTTTTAATTATTTAGTTTCTCATTAATGTAGAATTTATTTAAATTATCATTTTAATCTATTATATTTTTTATAGTTAGAATGACTAACATAATATGAATAGATATTATGTCTTAAAAGTTCATTATTTATATTGTAACATTTCTTGATATTTTATTATTAGAAAGGATTAATGCATTACAATAAAAATATACCTTTTAACTTTTTTAAATAATAGTAAAAAAAATAATGAAACATACTATTAAAATAATATAAATCAGAATTTTATGTATGTGAGAAAAATGATTAAATAATTCTTTTACATTATTTAGAACAAGAGAAATTTTAACTATGAAATATAAGTGAACGTAAAAAAATAAATTTCATTAAATAATATTAGATTTTACTTGATAAAAATGTCTTTTACAATAAAGCATTTAAGACTTAATATTGTTAATATAATTCATTAAATATTTAAATATTCTAATATATTCAAATAATATTAAAAAAAAAAACTATTATTTTATTGAAAAATAATCCATTGAATTATAAGTTTGAAAAAAAAAAGTAAATTCCTCTTTTATATAACAATTAATTTTCAACTTTGAAAAAATGTTTGAGATATAATAAAGATAAATATTTTTCTTTTATAAATATATATATATATATTTTTTTTTTTTTTTTTGGTAATTTTGTGAATCTTTTAAAAAAAAGAAGTGTATAAAATGAATAAAGAAAATCTTATTATTTTAGTAAGTTATAAATAAAAAGATTTAATATTTATGATTTTTACGTAAATACTTTTATATATTACAATAGTTAAGCTTTTTTAAAAAAAAAAAAAAAAAAATATAAACAATAGTAATTAAAAAAATTTTGTATGAAAAGATATAAGATTTCATTATATTTTACTCTTTTTTTTTTTATGTGTTTCTTCATTTTATCTGCAAGGTCATCATGTGTATTAAAATTCTTTCCAAAAGATGACAAAATGGTTGTTAATACTAATTATTATTATTAATTGTGTAAAATATATAGATACATTGAGAATAAAAAGGAATTTAATACTAATTCTTAAGAGGGGAAAGAAAAAAGGAAAAGTATACTCAAGATGTTTTATAAATAATTTTTTACAGGCAGAAAAAAAAAAAAGAAATTCTCAATTTTTTCGAATTTATAGAGGATTTGGAACAACATGTTCATATGAATGGATAGAATCAGATGATAATTTAGAAATAAAAATTAGATTATCACCAAATGTAAGTCCAGATGACATTCAATATAGATTAAAATGTGATTACATATATGTTAAATTAAAAAATAAACCCAAAAGCGCAATTGAAGGAAGGCTAAAAGGTAATGTAGATGTAAATCTCTCTACATGGTTTTTGGAAAAATTTGATGATTATAGTGTATTAAATATATTTTTAAAAAAAAAGGATAGAGGAATAAATGAGTGGGTAGGAGTTGTAGAAAAAGAAAATATCTTACATGTGTCATACGAAAATTCACCAGATACACATAAACATTCCAATACATCATCACAAAAAAAACTAGACGCAAATATGTTATTATATACACAATATTTTGAAAATGCAAAACAAGAGGATATATATGAATTCTTGCTTAAATGGGCAAGTAAAAAGGCAATAAATCCAAATGACTTCGGAATTCCTACAACGAAATTAAAAACATCCGTTATGCATAATGAACATGGACTAGAAATTATTATTAGTGGATATGATTTAAAATGGGAAGCAGAAGATAGCTTATTATTAAAGTTGAGTTCTTTTGAAAAAGGAATAGAATTAAATGTATATAGAGGAAATATAGCTAGTGGGATTAAAGGGTTACATGGTAATATGATAAGTTATCTTGTACAAGATTGTGAAGAAAGAATCTTAAAAAAACTCCAACATGATTTGAAAGGAGTATTTTATTTAAACCCTTTATCTAAAAAAATAGAAAAATTGATGCATGAACAATCTCCTCAAAGAAGTTATAATTATATTTTAAGTGAAGATAATAAAAAGCATATCTCCTTAAATGATGAAAATACAAATATATCAAATGTAGATGCAAACGAAACAAGCAATTCTGAGAACAAAAAGGATAAGGAAGAAAATGAAAATGAAAAAAAAAAAAAAGAAATAAAAATAAATTCAGAAGATGAAGAAATAATTATAAAAGAATTAAACTTAAATTCTAAAGTCAAATTAACATGTGATGACAAAAATAAAGAGCCTGAATTTATGAAAGAATGGTCAGAAGAAAAAAAAATTGAATTTAGAAGAAATTCCGTTTTAGAATTAAAAAAAAATTTAGAATTGTCTCAAGAAAATAAACTCACTTTAAAATTAAAAGATTATATAGATCATATGAAATTATCTTTTGATTTAACAGAGGAAGAATCTAAATTAATATGGAAAAAAGGAATACTAAAATCAGATGAACAAAAAAATAGAGAAAAGTTTTATAAATTTACTGAAATAGAAAATTTAACTGATAAAATAAATATGTATAATATGGATGAAACAAATGCAGATGAATTTTCTTACTCATATATAAAAGAGGAAAATAATAATTCGCACGAAAAAAATTATAACAATAAAATGGAGAAATTAACTAATAAGGAGGATGAAGAAAATTCTGAAGAAAATGATAGTAATAGAGAGTTAACTACAAATGAAGAAAAAAAGGAAGATAATTCTTATATAGATTTAAGTCCAAATGTTAAAAGCGAAAATATTAATAAACGATTTTTTAATTGCCTGGAGGATCAACTACTAAGTTCCAATGAGGAAAATAAATTAACATTATATGATATTTATATGAAAAGTAATGACAATGAAAAAAAACAAATGAGAGAAAAATGGAGAATAAACGAATTGAGGTTAAATACCTTAATAGAAGAATTAAAATATTTAGATAATGATATAATACCAACAGTATGTAATAATTATAGAGAAGTCTTGTTAAGTGATGAATATCCATGTTTAATGAAATTAAGACTTCAGGAAAATCCTCCCAAAACAGTAGAAGAGAAAAAAATTTTACGAATAGTTAATTCATTTGTTATAAGTTTGTATGATGATATAAAAATAGTAATGGAACATGAAGAAAAAGAACACTTAAAAAAAATACAACTTATATGTGAAAAAGCGATTGAAGATGAAAAAGGATTAAATGATTTTATTGAGTCAATGAAGCCTTTACTAGATTACTCGTTTCTAGGTTATATTAAACATGCAATCAATGTGGAAAAAAAAAATATACAACTTCAAAATAAAGACTTCAGGGAAAACCCATCTGATTGGTTAATTATTTTAATGATTATACAAAAAGGAATTTATTCTATTTTAGAAAAAGATATATGGGAAGATGTCATACATATTTCTTCTATTATTTGCCACGATCATCCTGGTGTACGACAAACAATTTTGAAGACAATGGTTGCGTCTATGCCAAAAGCTGATTGGATATTTTTTAAAGATATTATTAAAACATTATATAAAAGTGTTCAGGAAAAAAAATTAACAGCTAACCATTTTCCAGATTTTCCTCATATTCCAGAAGCTATTTTTCAATTAAATTATGACATAGAGAAAATATTACCTGATTGGTTCATAAAAGAAATGCTTGATGAATATGACAAAAGTGTTATTGAACAAATGAAATTAAAAAAGCCTTTATTTTGGAAAATGAAAGAAACAAAATGGGACCAAAAATTTGTACAGGATTTTAAAAGATTACAAATTGAAAAATATAAGCAATACGAAAATAAAAAAGCAAAACAATGAAAAAAAAAAAAATATATATATATATATATATATATATATATATTTATTGATGAATTATTATATTAAACATTTAATAAAAAAGTTGTAATGAAATAAAAGGAGTCTTAAATATATAAAATATAAATAAATCTTCTACATATTATTTAGTGAATAAATACAAAAATTTTTCCTTAAATATATTCATAGATAAGTAATTCTAAATTTATTAATTTTGTGAAAAAAAAAAATTTGAAAAAATTTATAAGTAGGTATATGCATTACATTATAATAAGTGTTTTTTAATATTAATATTTATTACAAATTAAAAAAAAATTTATATATTGATAACGTAAAATGCATTAAAAATTTTAAATATTATTATTTTAATAAGTAAAATAGTATTCATTGTTTTTTAAAAAATACAAAAAATGCATCTTCATAAAATCATAAATTATAAAATAATATTTTAATATTCAACAATAATAGTTTAAATTTAAATTTTTTTTTTTGTTTTATAATTGAAGAATTAAGTATTATTTTTTGATTTATGTTTATATTTTTCCTTTTTCATTTTTTAATGTAAATATTTTAATGGTATTAAATTATAAACTACATAAATTATAAATAGTACATTAATAAAGCATGAATATATTAAAATGTTTATCTTTATTTGGAAAGCACAATACAAAAAAGATATTAAACTATCAATGTAGTTCTTCAAAATTAGTTAAAAATTATTTTATGAGTAAAAATAATGAATGTGTGTAAAAAGAGAAAATAAAAAAAATGTACTAGTTTTACATTTCCTTATTTATTATCTACTAAAGTTTTACAAAACATGAATCTAAAAATATATGAGATTATTAAATATCCTCTTTTTATTTATTATTTTTTTTTTTCATAGTTAATAATAAATATGGTGAAGCAAATAGTGATAATATAAAAAAGATTAAGAAAGTAAAATGCTATAATTGCCATAACAGTATTGATGTTGATTTAGTACCTTTTTTTTGTAAAGTTTGTTATTGAAAAAAAATTTTTAATTTAACATTTTAGTATAAAAAAGAATTAATTTAAAGTTAATAAAATATATTTATGAGCGTTTGTAAGTTTTTTTCACCGTTACTAATATTTTCTTCTTTTTTTTTAGAATTGTAAAGCTCTTATCAATGTTGATGTCTTCAAAATTTTTAATATTTTTAAACTTTTTGATTTGTATAAGAGAAAATTTTTGAAGAAAAAATTATATAAATATATAATAAAATATACATAATTTTATAAGTTATAGCATATAAAAAATTAGTGTGATATCTTTTTATTTGCTACTATTTACATATTTCAATTATGTTATAATTTTTATTATTTCATTTTATTTTTATCAGAGAAGAAACTTATGATATAGACAAAGCTTTTCTAAAAAAAAAATTTAATGATATACAAAAAATATACCATCCTGATAAAAATTCTCAAAATACAGAAGTAAACATAAAAAATTATAATAAATATATTTAAAGAAATTATATAAAACAAATATACCTTAAATGAATGTAAATAAAATAAATATTTATGTTTGGAAAATATAAAGAAAAAAAATAATAATATTAAAATAAAAGTTTATAATAATAAAAAGATGTTCTGAGTTAAAAATAATTTTATTTTTTCAATTTAATTATAGTTAGAGAAAATAAATGAAGTGTCAAGTTATTTAAACAATGCATATAGAACATTACTAAATGATGTTGATCGGGCTTTATATTTAATGGAAATTCAATATAATTATAAGGTATACATTTTACAGTTAATTGAATTATTTTTATTTTTTATTATACTAATTGTTCTTTTTATATATATTTAATTTGCATACATAAATTTGTATACATTTTTTCTTTTTAAATTCATAACTTTAATATTTTTTCATATTTGTCTTACACATTGTTTAGTATAATCATATTTAAAGATGATAAAATTTATATAAATATATATAATTTTTTTTTTTTTTTTTTTTTCTTTTAAGATACCTGAAGAAGAAAATATGGATGATGAGGAATTTTTGACTGAAATTATCAAAGTATAATTATTTTTTTAAATATTTCTTTAACTATTTATGTTTATAATTAAGTTATGCATATATAATTATGTATTCAATTTTTTTTTTTTAAAGATTAATGAAGAAATAACTAGTTCTAAAGCAAATATTGAATTATTAACAAAGTAAGATAAAAATGAAATTTTTTCTCTATTCCTTTTTACTGTTTTAACATTTTTTAATTATTTTATAAATTATTTTAGAAAATATAAAGAAATGTATGAGAATTATGTTGAAAACATAAAAACGTATTTCAAAGAAAAGGTATTTTTTTCCTTTTAATTATTTATTTTAAGTATTGTTGTTTTTATTAAGAATTTCATTTTTTAATAAATTATTTTATTTCATTATTTTTTTTCTTAGCAATTTTTACTAATTTTAAATATATTTCTTCTTACATAGTGATAATTATTCTATTTTTAACTTACATATTTTTATCAATTTTCTATAGGATTTTAACAACATTTTAAATGCTTTAAAAAAATTAAAATTTATAAATAGGATTTTAGAACGGTTACAAGATTTTTAGCTTTATTTTAAAAAAGGTCTTATATTAAGTCTATTTTATTTATTTATATATTTTTTTTTTTCTTTTATATTTTGTCTATTCAATAAGGAATAACAAAATGTAATTATATGAATAAAAAAAAAAAAAAAAAAAAAAAAAAAAAAAATTTTTT